CACCAATTGTAAGAGCGCGCAACCCAAGCTGCCACCCTGTAAGGGCTTGGCACTCTTAAAACAACTTACGTAATACTCTAACCTGGTAACGTGACGTGAGAGGAAGGCCCATGGTATACTGCCAGACTGGGGGTCACTCATACTAAGGGTAAATACTTAACTCTAATCTTAATTTCTAAGGGTCGCTGCCACCAGACCCCCTCTGGACAGCATGTAGCTCGTTAGGTAGCGTGCAGAGTGGACTAGGCATTGGGTTAGGTTTTCCATTGACCAGATCGATAAGGGGAAAGAAGGGTGAAACCATAACATGTCTTAATTAAATTATTCCTTATAAAGCATGCTGGTAAAAAACATACAAATGAATTGGTCTTCCTCAGAAGAACAACGAAATGTTGGTTACCCAGATGGGCACCAGACGTCGTACATTAATGGCGTGTCATCCACATACTTATTGCATACCAATCTGTGACCACCTTACCTCGGTCATTCCTTCTTACACTATCCCTTAACACATCAGACTGCTCCATCTGTATGGAATATAGCACCGTCGATTATCATACATAGTAGCACCATCTCAACACACCTGTTACACTCCACCCCTGCAGGTATGGGACTCCTTGTAACTTTTAGGTATACACAACAGGCATCTCGTTCGCACACCGCCCTCGGTGGGTAAAGACGAGGGCTTCACCAAGAGACATGCCAGCACTATTTCTACGCCTGGTATTATAGATCGCTCCAAGTGACGGCCGCAGAGTTTCTCAAGCGTTTCCTTATTTGTTCTTACTCATTTGGAGTGGTGTGCTGGAAATCCACAGGTTCACAGTGGACTGGCATAGCTGGGAGTAGTCACCACCTGTTAGGACGCTCATAGGGATAATGGCTGCCGCGCAGCAAGGTACTCCGACCGCATGGAACCTGAGGTGACGGTAGAACGAAAGGGACTGAGTGCAGTGCCCCGCCGCTTTTCACCGCGTAGGCCTACAGTTTCAAATCTTTAATTTTTACTTTAATTTCTTACGGTTCTCACCTGAACACTTTTCGGCATATTGTCACTCATGCCTTATAAACACATATCTTAATCCTAAATTACACACTAAGGTAAGGGTCTGGTTTGCTAGTTCCTGGGTAAATTCATTGGGTTATAATATCAACGCGGCACACCCGAGGCGGCCTAGGCGCCAACCCAAACAAAGCCTAGCATCGTATTTTCATGGCGTGGGTATACAAGATATTCTTTCTGAAGCATAGTTTCTAGATCACTTCCAACACTTCACATAGTTCTGATACCTTTTCCTTTTTCCAGATCATTGTTCTCATGTATTTTCATATGATACCTGTGGAAGTTATGTTCGCTACACGTTCACAGACGTAAATAGTATAACCTTCAAACCATGATCCACACTTAGTCCTACAGTACACTAGTCCGGCTCAACTGGACTTTCCCAATCATCTTATGGATACCCTGAATTCTCCTTAATGCTATAAATACATACAATTAACATTATATAACTGTACCTGGGTACAATACAACACATGGTCTAGTAACATTGAGTAGGTGAGTTATCCTTTAACAATGTTTCCCGTTTTCTGAGATTCTACAAGCGCGTTGGATTTGAATGTTATATTGCGTAATATGAATTAAATGGGTTTTTTAGGAATGACAATGATGTGCGCAGTACAATGGGTACATGTAAATATAGTATCGAGTATTAGGGAAAAAACAACGGTGAATACTATAGGTGAATCATAGACCCACATACAAATACACTGTTTATTAAACACAAAAATGGTTACAGAAAAGACGTTGTATGCACCCAAAGTAGGAACTCCTGGTACCATGCCCTCAGGCTCAATTTACTTGCACCACTACTGGGTGTACACACACCAAAACACACAAACTCTTACAGCACCTTAGTACCAATAAAACCAGTGGCACCTGCCAGTACAACACTCAATACCCCAGGGGCAATACTCCAGGGGCCGCCAAGGGAGTCTCATCACTAGGCTTAGGATAATTATGCATTTGCAAATGTGCATATGCAAATACATATTTAAGCCATTTTTGAGCTAAAATGCATATTCATATTTTTTTTTGTTTTATAGGGCATATATTTGGAAAATTCCAAAATATTATAAAACATTCTTCAACCTCAAGGGTAAAAAAATTCGCGAGCATAACAGCAACGCTGGGGCAGAAATTACTGATATTTGAAATATAAATGTCCATTTTATTGCACTCATACAAAATCGAAAATACGCGATTTTGTTTTAGCGTCATAATATCCAAAAGGAACATACTTAAGTGACGTTTATATAGCTCAACATTAGGCTGCGGTTAGCTAGACCGTGATTGGCTGGTCAGTGGACATGAACTGCACGTGATGGGTTCGTGTTCAGCCAGGCAGGGTATAGATGCACGGACTTCATTAGTTCCCTCTTCGGCTCCTGACACTCTTTTGTTCTTCTATTTTCTTAAAGGGAAAATACTTTTTTCAGTATTGTTTATTAAATTACTTTGTCAGTATGTTGTTTTTTGTATTTAATCCTTCTTTAAAAAATCCTACTTCGGCGACATCCTGTCTGGGAAGTAAATTTACTGAGAAAATGTACAGAAAAGGAGTTATTAGCTTAGTAGTTATTATTAATTAACTTATTTTAAAGTGCATATTTAAGTGCATATTTTCTCAGTTTTACTGCATATTTGCATGCATATTTAGCCATTTTTAAATGCATAATTATCCTAAGCCTACTCATCACCAAGTGACACCTTCCAACAAACTCCGGTAATTCCGGTGGACTAACACCACCACACCAACAGCCCCACCGAGTTATGTACTGTACTCATCCACCAATGATGGGGGCTTGACGATCCGGGTTCACCATGGGGGCATGGCGTCAGGGGAATACTACCCCCTATGGGGCCCATAGGTGGTAGGAGCTTCTGACGATCGGGGTTCACGGGGACACCCGACTCCACTGGACCTCAGACATCTCCCAAGACTAGTGGATGCGTCATCCACGCCACAGACACGGCCTAGGCTGCGTTAGGGACCTGTCGGTGGAAGAGCGTGAAGCTTACTGGTTTGAAAACCAACCGCGGCCTTCCCCCCACGCTAAAGTCACGGATTCCACCTACTCAACCATTTCACTGAATTACGTTACTGTAACACTTTGACGTTTGAAACTGAGACTATGAACTCAGTTTCATTCCCTACTATTATCTTCACAAACAATGCTCTGACTGAGCTATCAAAAGCAAGAATTAAATTGATCACAAAAGGTTGGATGGCAACAGGTCCCAACACGCAGCGCCTTGCTACAACACCCGAGGAGCAGATTCAAAAGGTTCCCTTCAGAATATTAACTAATTCCTCAATTAACCTCCCTACCACAATTTCACTATAATTATCAGAGTCTCTGATATTTATAAGTGAAAAAAAAAGGTTTACAGGTCTCGGTAGATGCAAAAGAGTTTACAAATCGGTCAACAAACATACGACATCTCGATGACGTCATCAAAGAAACAGAGAGAACGGAGTACATTTCCACTGGGAGACTCAGAAGGTTTTGTGGACGTGTAAGCGTAATATGGATCATTAGTTTAACAGGTTAGCTGTCATTACGATCATGACATAACAGCTCAAGATTGAAAAAGCCCGGGCGATTGGTCACGTCTCTGTCACGCACTGTTGGCAAGTACTGGGCATGCACCGGCTCCTGAATGTACCTGAACCCACTCCAGTGTTGGTCAAGTCTCATCTTGAAAGAGCTCGCACTCGGTGCCGTCACAACACTCTCTGGTAGATTGTTCCAAAAGTTTACAACCCTCACTCCGAAAAAGTTTGCCCTCACAGTTTTCTGGACTTACGGCTTCTTCAATCTTAAGCTGTGACCCCTTGTGGGGCGAGCGTCCGCCAGCTCCAAGTAAGGACACTCGACTGAGTAGTGCCCCCTGAGATGCTTATACACCTCAACTAGGTCACCCCTTTCCCGTCTGTAGTGGTATTTAACATGTGCTACCACATAGTGTGTGATATTTAACATGTGCTACGGTGCTACCACATCTAGTGTGTGGTATTTAACATGTGCTACCACACCTAGTGTGTGGTATTTAACATGTGCTACTACACCTAGTGTGTAGTATTTAACATGTATTACCACATCTCGTGTGTGGTATTTAACATGTGCTACTACATCTAGTGTGTGGTATTTAACATGTGCTACCACATGTAGTGTGTGGTATTTAACATGTGCTACCACACCTAGTGTGTGGTATTTAACATGTGCTACCACATCTAGTGTGTGGTATTTAACATGTGGTATTTAACAGACGCCATTTCTTAGCACATAGTTATTCTACTAAATTAATGTGTGCAACATTTTTTAATTAACTATTTTCAATTACAGTAAACTCAAATGTCAACAGACTCAGATATATTTTAATGTGATTCAAAACAACTGAATATACTGTATAGTTACTATTGTTTTGTATCCCACAGTGAAGAGTTCCAAGAGAAACAAGATGTAAGCAGAGATTATAAATGTAACCTGTTATGTGATGTAGACCAAAATAACATGAGCGGAATAATTTGGCCCAATAATTATCCACAGAAGAATGGACAACCCTTTCAGATTACGGTGCAGCTTCTGATTTACTATCTGGAAAGATCTCCTTTGGTAAGGTATTAATATATTAATACTGTACAATTCAATGGTTTTATTCATTCCCATACAGTATTGATTTAAATAAATATACATATAGGAATCTAACAATTTCATATATGACCGTTTGAAAATCTGGTATGTGGTATCTGCTAGTAGATCATCAGCTGTGGAAATAAAACTATATTTATAATAAAAGAGTTTCTTTCATTACATCGTAACTAATTGAATTATTATACATCTAAACGCATGGAAGTCGAATATACGGTAATGGCACTCACCAGCTCAGCTCACCACGGGATCTCAGTGCGTTCTGCCGGGAGTGCCGTACGATATGTTGGGCAAACACTTCCGAGACTTCACTGTTAACTGCTGCACTAATACAGTACTGTACACCGGTGGGACTGGCCAGCTCGATTATTTACCACAACAAACAACACGCCGAGTGAAGTATTCAACTTAAATATCATTACAATGACCAAGGTAGAGTTTATATTTCAACTATATTGTCATAGTTAACCGACAATGTAGAAGAACATATATTATGCAGCAGTGTAGTTAATAGTAAATATTTTAAGATCATGCAGTAAGTTTCAATGCAATCACAACTTGTGCGTTTTAGGAATCGTCTGTAATGTGATTTGTGTTTTCGGTTAAGTTTCTGGTAAATGTGCAGTTTCAGCCCCAACTACCGTTCAACCATAAATTAGCCGTTATCTAAACCTTTACCTTATGGTAAACGTGTAGATCAGCTGTTCCCAACCTCAGGTCGCAACCCAAACCAGTGTCGTCGTGTGGGGTGGCCTCAGTAGGGGTCCGACTAATTACCCAAATGTAGCCGCAATGATGTCAAATAATGGTCCTACATGAATAAATCGGACTGCTAATCACTTCTCGATTATTATTTGGTGTCACGAAGTCACAAAAAATTGGTAAATTTAATTTAATCTGAGTTGTGTTGTGTTAGGTTAGGTACATGCACTTGATCTATAAACTCAGATTAAATTAAGTTTACCAATTTTTTGTGACTTCGTGACACCAAATACTAGTCGAGGTTAGGTTAGGTTAGGTACATGCACTCGATTTATTAACTCAAATTAAATTACGTTTTCCATTTTTTTTTTTTACTTTGTGACACCAAATACTAGTCGAGAAGTGATTGGTAACCCGATTTATTCATGTAGGACCATTATTTGACTTCATTGCGGCTACATTTGGGTACATTTGGGTAATTAGTCGGACCCTAAGATAACGGCTACCACCAAAAGTTGTTTGTTGATTTCTTTGTTTTTGCTGTACTTATTGTTTTGATGTTTTAAGTATATTAAAAGGGTTAATATACAGGACTAACCCGCCGGGCTGCATAGCGCCGATGCGGCCATATCATCTCATGTCCAGAAATGCCTCAAATTACATCATATCATAGTTAGTTCTTTCTGTTTAATATACCGGGGAAGTTAGGTAAGCTTAGGTATTTTTGTTTGGTTTGGTTGGTTAGGTCTGTTCTTCGTAACCATAAATGTTAAGTAGCGTTTATTTTAAAGAATATCCGGTTTTTAACATATTTCCACAAACAAGAACAGTGCCCACTATAATATAGCAATGAAAATCCGGCGTTTTTATAATTGTTTTCAATCAGTTTCGCCCTTGGGTTAGTCCTATATATTTACCATTAAAAGAAACGACAACTTTCTATAATGATATTAGTATGTAGAATTTTTTTTTTACCGAATTCGGACAATTCCTTCTGGTTGTAGCCGTTATCTACACCTTTACTTAAATTGTAGTTTTTTCCATGGTATTTGATCTGATTCATTCGAATTTGACCTTCATATCCGTCGGAAATGAGTCTTTTGGAGTATCATCCCCCCCCCTTTAGAACCTGACCTAACCACCCAAAGAAACCCACCTAACCACCCAAAGAAACCCACCTAACCTTACCAAACATCTTGGCCGTCCCCGCCATATTAAATAAAGTACTTATTACAACAGATGACATGCGGTCACTATAGAATTGTTATTTTCTTATGTGAATTTACTATCTCAGTTAATATCCATTTGCGATGGAAGTATTAGGAAAAGTTGGGTAAATTTATAGTAAATCACTGGTCTTTCTCTCACTGTTATTAGTATGTATTTTGTAATGTTATGACATTTCTAAGATATTTGTCTTTGATATTTCCGCCGGAAATTAAGTATAACCGAGATATTAATTTTCCAATATTATTATACAGTACTGTATTTGGTCAGTCACAAGCATTGCCATGTGTTGTTTACATCTGGTGGAGAAGCTCTGACCTCCCCTCACCCAGTGCTCCTTACCTCCGTGTTGGCTTTTTAAGCGTCTACAGCGCACGTGCTGTGGGAGTTTCTTATTGGCTATTGTGAGAGGAGACTTATTATTGGGCAAGAGTTTTTTGTCTTAACCAATGAACAATGCGTGGGTGCGTCGGGAGCAGAGATTTGAATTTTCGGTAAATTTGCATTGTCACCCATGCACACGCAGGGCTACCAATGCGAGGAATGCCTCGGGGGTCTTTTTGAAACACTTCGTTGTAGTGTCAGTTTGTTTCGCACAGGAATTGTAGCGGTTGTTTTTTTACCAAGTGTACACCTTCCTCTTATCCAGCTTATTGGGTCTCAAGGTCTATTGAACCAATATTATTACCTGATCATTACTTTCTTTGTACTAGGGGTACACAAACTTTAGTAATTTTACTACATTATAATTTTCTCTCTTCATTGCTTTTGTTTCTGTTTGTCTCACATCTTTTTATGCTTCCTTTCACTTCTCTCTCCATGTGGTTAGTCAGTCATTTCATGCATTCCAATATTGGAGTGCCAGGAATGAGCAACTGTTTTTCATTTTGTTGTTAAACCACTATGCAAAAACATTGTACAATTGTGCCCTTCACCTTGGGCTCTAAAACAGTTTCCTGAGGGATAGTCATGATAAAATGTGTAGTGTTGTTCTGTTCTTTGAGTTATGCTGCCAACATATAGATAATTCCATTGACATGAGTACAGTACAATAATGGCATTCTAAAGGTTGGTGTCTTATCTTTGACACTTATCATGTTGTCAGAATCGCTGAGCAAAGGTTTTGAGGATGCAGGATGAGCTTTCATGCATTTTAAGTAGCTATGGAAACAATGACACCATATTCAAAGTGAACAATACTGTATTTTGTTAATTTATGAACATTCTAAAAAAAAAAGGATACTAATCACAAGCATTTTTGTCAGCTGTCAGGATGGTACTATGAGAAGCGGGAGTTACGGCACACTCCAAGCATTATTGCAGGCCTCAGCGTGGAGCAGGAAATACAATATCGGCGTGAAGGAGCCCGTTTTATTCTGCAGGTGGGAAACAAGATGGGTCTCCGCTATGAAACCATGGCAACAGGTGTTGTTTACTTCCACCGCTTCTACATGGTACATACGTTCCAGTCCTTCCCAAGACATGTAAGGATATGATGTGTTTGTTGACCCCTCCTTTGCTTAGCTGCTGTATGCATGTTTTACATTGTATGTTACATAGAGTTATTGGTGCACATAGAAAGAGAGGAAATTAAGGTTAGATAAAACCTGATGTGGATGATTCTTACGATGTTCTTGATGGGACTTAAGTTGCGATACATTTCTCATGACCACAATTTGTCACAGAGAGATCACACTTTGATAATACAGTAGTACTTGCTTGTGTAGAGGGTGTACAGGTCAGGCAGTCCCTGAGTTGAGAATGCCCGACTTATGAACACCCGCATTTATGAACGGGATGCCAGTGCACTGTACCCTCGTCAATTTGGATCTTTTTTAAAAAATAATTTAAACAATTTGAATTCGGAATGAATCTGAAATGATCTAACAGTTCTGAAAAGTTGAATTATTATTATGGGAATATATTATGAATTAGATTGTGATGAATTGATTTTAGGAATAGGATATGAATTTCGTTAAGAAACTGTACAATACTACATTTGGTGTGTAGCCGGGAAGAGGAGGCGATGGAGGAGGAGGGCAGAGCGAACAATTGACCTCCAGTGCTCGCCAACCTGCAATCCCTTTATAACAACGGTATATAATTTCACATAATTAAATTTCCCCCCAAAATCCTGCATACTATACAGTACTCGCATTCTCAGTCTCTTGTTTAAAAAGCGGTAACTGCTGATCGGTCCCACTGACCCACCCTCACTAATAATGTTGCCAGCACTCACTATCTCTCAAGTACCACTGTTTTCACTGCTCAAGATGGTTGGTGTTTACCACAGGATCTGTCTTGAGCACTTAGTAAATAATACTGTAGCATCTTTATCAGAATTTAATAAATATTATGCCCTGGTTTATTCACTGATCAGTTGTCTCAATGCAAAAGTAGCCAAATAGAGCCATCATGTTTCAACCCTCACCTCATCAGCTCACCCCTTGTCTCATCAGCTCACCTTGACGTATTACATTTACAGTAAAACCTCGATTAACCGCCGATCTCGGACCCCTAAAATAATTTTTTTTTTTTACGGGGATTAGCCCACCCGGGCACAGGTCACTGACCCACATCGGGGCCTAGGGGGCGAAAATGTAATAATAATAATAATAATAATAATAATAATAAAGAACCATAAAGAAATGCAAAAATGAAATAAAAATCAAAAGTGAGAAGCAATATATGTATGTTGTGTTGTCAATAGTACGAGAAATAATTGAGACCCTGCAATTGTGTGTAAATGAGGCAGAAAGTCAGATCAGCAACCTGGGACTTGGTCACAATTTTCGTGATGCCATATGTTCTTTGACTTTTCCTTTTTTTTCTTCACGGTTTCTGTGCTGGTTCATATTTATATACTAAAGTGGTTAATGTTTTAAAGCAAATGCTATTGAAATATGAATTGCAAATGAACAAAAATGAATAGAGGGACTTACTAAATGAGGTAGGTTAGGGATAGGTACTTTAAAAAGGTATGTTTTATTTCCGTCGACTTTATTTACTATTAACTGACCTTTTGGATTATCCTTCGGCCCCTTCCCCCCGTATGTGGGCGGTTAATCGAGGTTTTACTGTATTATTTACATTATTATTGTTGTATGTACATTTAGAAAATGTTTATATTAGCACAGTAGTTATAAATAAATTATTTTGTGGCAGCTTAGTAAGGCGCAAAAACCGAACAGAAGACGGATGAATAATCAAACACAAAAAATGGGAAATTGTCGAATAATGTCAAAATATTCTGAATGGTTAATTCGGATTTTTATGTGATTCTAGTGACCCAGAGCCTCTTTTGTGTTGAATTAACACATCTGGAAAAAGTAAAAAAAATTATATTACGGTACTTTCATTATTTTACACGGGTCTCGCATTAGCGATTATTGCTTACAGGTTTGATTGAAATATGATCATAGTTATAGCTTACACGGAAAGCCATGGGTAGCACGGGTTGTGGTACAGGTAAACCTCGATAAATGATGGGGTTAGGTTCTTGTAAAACCCATCCCTATGTGATTTATCATAGATTGGGATTATAATAACATGGGGTTCAATGAAATACTTTCCCAGCCAGTTCCCAAACACACATGCATCACCGACAAAAAAATCCTACATTCATAAAATCAATAGAAAACAATTAAGCAACACTCAACACATCATGAAGAACAAGTCTTATCATCATCACATGTCCCCTTTGAGAGGGCAAACAGAGGCAAAGCACAACAGAAAATATCACTTCACAGTCACAGTTCAATCTAAATGTTAGTGCTGTCCTCTCACTACAAGTACTCCCCTACGAACATTCAACTTAGAAAATTTCAGAGATACAAACATCACTGAGGGGGTTATCTGCCAGAACAGGTGTTTAATGTAGATGAGACTGGATTATATTGATAATTCAAGATAAAACATACATACATAACCTATGCGGAGAAGAGTGAGCCGGGTTTTTAGGTTGTATTGTAAGGTGTGGCTGTATTAAACATCCGCTATATTTAATTTTTTTTACAATATGTTCGATATGTACAAGAGTAAAGTTGGACTTACAAACAATTGGATTTACGAACAAGCTTCAGGAGTGTAACTTGTTTGTAATTAGAGGAACACCTGTATAAGGACATAAAACACTGATGGTAAATACAATGTACATTCCCCTTCACTAGTGCATTTACAGGGGCTTGTCATATGAACATTCCACAAATCATTATCTTTGACATATTTGTTTAATTTGTCAAATGTAAACACACACAGGGCTGCCACACTGCACAAAACCTGACGAGCTCCTGTAATTGCACTAGTGAAGGGGATTGTACATATTGCCAACAATACTGAATGATAATTGTGCAGCTATGCGATGACGGACAGATGTGATCAACAAAGAACCAAGTGCACATTTGTAGTACATGGGTTGGCCGTGTGGTGGCGAGTGGGTAGATATTTCTGCAGCTGACAAGTGCAGCGAGAGATGCTTTCCCTACGGAGGAGCATAAGGTTAAATATTGTTTCCTTATAAAATGTCACTGACTGTAGAAAAATATAATTTACATTGATGGAATCCTTGCTAGACAGTGATTACCTTGAGTATATACAACCCATAGTTTACACCAGAGAAAAAAAATCCAACCAAGGGATATCAATGGATATCGTTAAAGCAAAATTTTTCTTTTAGCGTATATAGAGAGATACAGTACTGTAGTCTTAATTCATGGCCATCGTTAAAGCAAAATACCGATGAACGGTGCATCGTTTATTGAGGTTTCCCTGAGTAGTGCTAATTTTTTGCCTATTTGCTGATCTTTTGCCTATTTAGCCCCAAATATAGCAAATTTAGTCATTTTAGTGATTGGACATTGTAAGTGCATTCTGTAAGTGATATGGTTAAACCTCTATTAACATGTCCTCATCTATGATAATTCATGTTAATGATGCTGATATATTAAGACCACTCTCCTATTTCCGGGTATCGATGACTTTCTCAAACCCGGAAAAATCCCTTTTCCCGGAATAATTTCCTGTTACAGTACTACTGGGAAAAGTTTCCGAGAGAGTAAACTATGCATCTTGTACAGGCAGATACTAGCCCACATCCCCAAAATGTTTCTGGGTGCTGGGAAAGTTTTCTAGTCTAAACTACTGGAGTCTGTAAAAGCAGTTGTAATTAAGTTAGGAACTCCATTTTTTACGAAATTAATCCTGTATAGTTAATCAGAAAGTTTGTTTAAATATATTTAAAAAACTAAAAATCTATATTATATGGATGTGCAAGGTGCCTCGTGAATGAAGTTTTGTGTTACAGTGAAGACTGGTATTTTCCACTCACACGGAGCTGTGAAAGATTAGTTGGTCTCGTATTACTGGCCTTCTGATGCAATGTTAGGTCATCCATTGTTGGGTGGGGGGATTAGTGGGTCTCATAACCTGAAGCTGTCTTGAATAAAGACAAAAGCTAAGGTACAGAGCATTTATGAGGCGCGAGGCTCCTACCAAAAAAGTGTATAAACTTTTATTCACAGTATCTGCTCTAATTGTGTTTGAGAAATGAATTTGATACCCTTGCATGTACATAATAATTATGATTTTTTTTTACCTATGAGATGTACAGCATTATATATGAAGGGTACAGGTATAAATATTTGTCTCAAAACTTGTGAAGAATGCATGTCCTGAGACCTTTCTTACGACCCACCTCACTCCTCCACATCTAAGTTACATGCAAACACCATCTTACATGCATATTGTGAAAAAGTAAAAGAAATAATTGTCCAAAGGGCAAACACATAAAGGGAATATATATTTCTTTGCACACGAGTTAGCTGGCTCCTTGGGGGAGTGGTAAGATGTCTCAGCGGTTGGTGGAGGTGGGGGAGCGTTGCTAGGGATTCAGCGGAGGTAGCTACAGGAGGAAAATGCACAAAAGTTTTTCCAATATACTCCCTGCTAAAATAGGGGTGCATCTTATATGCCATAAAATATGGTACAGGTTGTACCTCTCTAGTCCGGCATTCTGTGGTCCGGAACGATTTTAGTTTGCCCAATAGCAGCTACATGGCGTTGGCGGAGTGGCGGTTGGAAATCAAAGTTTGTTTACATCCGGCAGTTCGGCTCTCTCTCTGTTTGTCGATACAGAGTACAACATTTAACCCTTCAATATGTCTTCAAAGAGACCACGAAGCAGTGAAAGTGGTGCTAGTGCTTCCAAGCGTAAGCACAAGTCACGATCTATCCAGGAAAAGGTTGAACTGTTGCAAAAATTAGATAAAGGTGCATCGGTACGGAGCTTGTGTGAGAAGTATTACTTTCTCTTATTTATTAATTCCTATCTTATGTTTTTATGCTTTATGTAGGGTGTTTCGAGGGTGAATTTCCATGGAACCGGCACCGGTCAGGTCCCGAGGTTGCCGGACTAGAGAGGTACAACCTGTACAGTATTTATTTTTTTGCACAGTGTATATGGGAGGCTAGGGGGATTGTCCATTATATCGAGGGTTTACTGTATTGACGAATCCTGCATAGCGGCAGGCTGAGATTTGGGCATGTGAACAGTGGAAGGTAGGACAGCCGAGAATAACATGGGGAGAGGTTGTAAGAAATGACTTTAGAGCTAGGAACTTGTCAAGAGAGAGTGCAAGAGACCAGGCAGCATGAAGAGCTACCATCAGGTATTCATGGCTAACCTATGCAAGCATGAAAAATAGCTGTAAAAGGATGGTGATGATGATAATGATAGTGTGTCAAAACAGTACTGTACAGTACAATAGTGTTTTTTAGGAAATTTTTCTCGTGAGAAAATTGTCATTGTGATTTTCAATAGGTAACTGCTTGTTGCTGCCTGTTTCTTGCTGGCAAAGTGGAGGAAACACCCAAGAAGTGTCGAGACATCATGAAGACTGCCAAAAGTTTGATGGATGAAGTAACCTGGGCCGAGTTTGGCACAGATCCACGTGAAGAGGTAAGTTGATCTCGTGAGGTGGCCTTAGTAAATGCTCTGTTGGGTAAGCCTTGGATAAGTTTATATTAAATAAACATATTGATTGAATAAATTACCGTATTTTACAGCATACAGTAATATCCCCGTTAGTTGGAACAATTGGTGCAGAGCACTTCTAGGTTGAGACTTCCAGGTAACCAGACGACTTTCTCAAATCCGGAAAAATTCCTTAGCCCCGGAATCTTTTCCAGTTACTGGGAAAAAATTTTGAGTGTCGAAACTAGACATATTGCACAGGCAGACACTAGCCAACATCCCCAGAACATTTCTGGGTGTTGGGGATTTTTTCCTCGAGTCTAAACTACCAGAGTCCATAAATGCAGCTCTAATTAAGTTAGAAACTCCATTTCTTTACTATAGAAATCCACAATAGTTTAACTAAAAGTTTGGTTAAATAAATATATTTAAAAACTAAAAATCTATATGATACTGGCATAAATGAAGCTGTTTGTTACAGCAAAGACTGGTATTTTCCACTCCCATGGAACTGTGGGGGATTAGTGGGTCTCATGTATCTGACCTGATGCAATGTCAGGTGGAGGTAGGGTGAGGGATTAGTGGTCTCATATTACTGACCTTCTGATGGAATGTCAGGTTACCCTTTCTTGGGTGGGGGATTAGTGGGTCTCATGACCTGAAGATGTCTTGAATACAGATGAAAGCTAAAGTATTTTTAGGGAGATTGTGATAAGTATAAGACCTATAAATGAGCAAAGTTGTATCCCTTCAACATTATGTTCCATAACATTTTAAAATATGGAGTGAGAAAGTAGAAAGGTGTGGCTGATTAGAGAGATGCACCAGTGTCACCAAGCGCTCCTCAACAGTTGATATTTAACTCGCCACCACGCAGTCACAACAAGACCCTCACTGGATGCTTGTTGTTTTAATTCCCGTGTTGGGTGTGTGTGTGTCAGGAACACTCCACAACACCACCCACACACACCGTTCAATACCACCCACACACACCTTTCAATACCACACACACCCCCTCCAATACCACACACACCCACCCTCCAATACCACACGCACACACCCTCCAATACCACACGCACACACCCTCCAATGCCACACGCACACATACTATCCAGCATTGTGTGAGACACAATGCATTGCCTCATTACCACTGTACAGTGGTCCCTCGATTAACGAACATAATTGGTTCCACAGAGTCGTTCGTTAACCGAAAATTTCGTTAACTGAATATTATTTCAATGGGATATTGGGTAATTGGATCCAACTCACAGAAAAAGTACATACAAAGTTCTGTATACCGGTAATAGAATTAACAAAACATTAAATATAATCTAAATACATTACTGTACTGCACAGTACAGCAACTCCCCGACTTACAACCTACTCGACTTACGTCCACCCGCACTTACGACCTACCTCGGTCGTACCAAAATTTGGTCAAATTACGTATTTTCGAGTTACAAAGTCAGTACAGACAAAATTTTCATCTGTAATTCACTTTAAAATGGCTGGCAAGCTTAAAAGTGAGTGTTTTGTGGTGCTGAGAAGAAAAAGGGACCCACATTTTTTATTTTCTATGTGTTATTTAAGCATTTCCGACTTATGACCATTTCGACTTACGACCTGGATGTCGGTACAAAACCCCGTTGTAAGTCGGGGAGCAGCTGTATACTGTATAATAATACATAAAAAACAATAGAATACTGTACTATATTTTAACTTATTTTGAGGTGTGTATGTTGTATTCCTGGCAGCTTTGTTTACATATCAAACAGCGGATTGTAGAGGCATTCGATGATGACATGCCAAATTCTTTACAGAATGCATTGGCTCTAATGCCTTCTTCATGTTTCATAATAATTTCTGCACTGTTTATTATCAATATGTGAACTAAATTTCAGAATGACCAATAATTTTAATGTAAAAATGCAAAAATATTCAGGAGACCAACAAACTGGATGTTCACTCCACTGTAAACAAAGTTAAACTGAGAAGCATTGGTGGGTGATTCGATCAGCTGATTGGCACACTAAAACTGTTCTCTGTACTGTATATATTATCAATATGTTAACTAAATTAGAATGACCAATAATTTTAATATAAAAAATGCAAAAATTTTTATGAGCACAACTTTCTTAATATTTACTCCACTGGAAACGAATGCAAACATAGAACCAATTTCTGCATTGGCGGACTAGCCGATCAGCTGATGCGCACAACAAAGCGTGTTTCTCGTAAGGCTTTCGTTAATCAAATTGAAAATCCTTATGGGAGCTAATTCGTTAACCAAAATTTTGTTAATTGGACCGTTCGTTAATCGAGGGACCACTGTATATCATTTTTTATGCTCTTATATTTTTCAGGTGATGACACTGGAGAGAATCTTGCTGCAGACAATTAAATTTGATTTTATTGTAGAACATCCCTACACTTATCTTCTCAAGTATGCAAAATGTCTCAAAGGTTAGTACAGTATTGTGCCTCACCACTGTGAATGACCTATAAATAACTCTTGATAGGGGTATAACAGTAGAAATTACCAGGAAGGACCCAACAGAGTATGAAGAAATACCTTCACATATGCTCACATTTTTATTAAAAAAAAAGCAGTAGGCAAAGTGAATCACTAGTCTCCACACTGGGTCACAATGTTTGATATTAATTCAGTTTGCATTAATGTAAATAATGAATAACAGCTTCAGCGTTTAGGGGTCATATGATACGTTCTAAGCCGGCATGATACTGCTTTATGAACCTGTGTGACTAAAGAAGACTTTTAATGTATGTTTGTGGACCAAATATGCAGTGTTGTGTTAACTCAGTTATGTACAAAAATTTCTGTGTTTTGAGAGAGAAATCTCCTCAAGACACCCAAAATGTTATTAATATGACCACACACACACACAATTGTGTATAGACATACACAGGTTCCAAAATACAGCCTTGTGCTAACTTTGGAGCCTTAGTATAAGTTCTTTAGTTATGAAACTTGGTACTGTAGTGTAATGAAGCAGACATTTCTATAATTCGTACTAATGAAACATAATGGTGTAATGAAGCAGACTGTTCTCTAATTAACACTAATGAAGCAAACTCATAGATTTTTGAAGAACAAGGATTTTATTTACAAAAATTCGCTGTTAGGAGAAAACATTTTCCCACACATTTATTTCCAGTCTAACCTCTGAAATTTGGAGTGCTTGGGACCAGGGCCTTTCTGATTTTGTATTTTAGTGAATTTTGGAGGTTTTGAAAAACAATAAAAAAATAATGTGTATTGTGTACTGTACAGTACAGTATTATAAATAAAATCAAGTAAACAGTTGTTTATGTTTCATATCGGTGGCTGATGGTGAGGCACCAGTAGTGTTATTTTTCTTAGTGGGAGCGAGAATGAGGGTATAATATGGCAAATTATAGTGAACTCTATACCTTGTCAGCAAGAGACAATACAGTACAGTTTGTTATATCAAACAAATCAGATGGCTGGCAGGATCTTGCGAGTGGCGAGATTGTCAACTACTGTACAGAACTTATGACCACTAAATTAAGGATATGGCCCGTAAATTTGACTTTACAGAAATGGGGCAAATTTTCAACATCAAAAATGTGACACTGTACATTTTATTTATTTATTTATTTTTTAATTATAATTTTGTGTGTTTGGATTTCATACATTGTTTGCTACATTGAAACCGTGCTGCCTGGCACTCTTTACATCTGTCAATGCATTAAGAGTTCTGGTTAGTTAAATTCAAGTCTTTTGTGTATTATTATTATGTTATATCATAAAATAATCAATACGCCTAATACAGTACAAGTACTGTACAAAAATATGTTTAAAAAGGTTTATTTGGATAAATAAGTGTGGTTTTATTACTTGTTATGGGCGAAAAAATTTCTGTGCGATTTGAATTTTGGAATTAGGGTTTTGAGGTATCATATGTTTCGAGTTTTGGAGGTTCCAAACTTTAGAATTCCGAGTTTCTGAGGTTCAACTGTACTAGCGAAAATTCCAAACGTATGAGAAAAAATGTATATGCTTAAATGATTCAGATTTCTTACAACCAGTATGTACTGTATACTTATTTCATTGCTCTCTTCCACCCACAATATTAAGTTTACAAATAAACTTTCAATGTGGGATCAGTCTTCTGCAATCAGTAAATAACTTGCTCCTCAAACTCAGTTGAGGACAAGTAGATTCGTCACTCACACCACCACACACAATCACTGAGCCAGTTATATGATTGTCCAATTTCTGTTCAGTTACATACTCACATGCAATATGTGGAAACTTGAATAAAAGAAAATTAAGCATTCTTAATTTCATATGCTAATTATGTACAATAAAGGTATAGAGTTATACGAGATACTGTGGAATTTGGATATGAAGAAATGTTTGGAGGAGGTATGGATATTACCAGTAATGCATGAGGGTTGATCAGTAGAGCATTAGCTGACAGCTAGGATGCTGGCTGATGGATCTACGCCTCGGTTCTGACATTTTTCTCCAATGGCTTTAGATACAGTCATTTCTGTTACAATGCGTGTTCTGTCAACGCGAATTGGTTATAACACGATTGATGAATAGAAGAACGATATTTGTAAAATGCGAACGCGTGTTGGCTGTAACGCGATTCCACTCGAACGTTTTAAGTGTACTGTCGCTTGGCATGGGGTTATGCAGTGTTTACAGTTCACTTTCGACATCACTTGCTCAATTGATTCATGTGTTTTGTTTGTGAAGTGTTATTTGATAGGGACTCGATAAATTTCATCCTTTTTTTTTTCAAATTTAGCTGTTCCCATAAATACTGTATGAAAAAATAAATAAAGATAATGTTTCGCAGTGCGAACTAATAGCGTTTTACACCCACTCTCTCTCTTTCCATGACACAATCAGTTGAAACACGTGGGTTGTTTTGAAGCGTCCTCGGTGATTTTTGCTTACTATTTCTCCAATTTTTTGGTATTAACTGTGAATATGGAAAAGAAGAATATCTCCAAGAAGCGTTCTAGTAATCGCATTCCCGGTGTTGATTGTAAAAGAAAGGCTATAACACTTGAAGAGAAGCTTGATGTTATCCACCTCAGAATCACCTTTCTCCCCCATCAAGTTATATTCATATTTTTTCAAGGTAAAGTGTTACATTTACTGTATCATTTCATTATTAGATATGAATGTAACATTTATTTGGACTGTGCTATCCTTTGTGTTAGGCTAACTACTAAATTTTTTCGATTTCGAGTAATCTGCATCTTACCCTGTTTTCTCCATAAACCCTGTTTTTTCTATTGCGCAAATTTCCACAACGCGAGGTTTTACAAGAACATAACTATCGCATTGTAGCAAAACTGACTGTATTGCTTTTCAGACATTTGAAGCCAGCCTACAGTAAATCATAGTGCCGTGGAATTTATATTTCCCTATAGACTGTCCTTGGTCCAGGTTTTGTAGAATTTCCACCTTTACTTTTTACATGTATTATTTATCTCCTAGTGCAGTACAATACTGTACTGCATGTTGTTTTTAGTTTAAATAACATAATAAACTGACCAGGCCCAGTACAGGAAGCTCCGAGATATCTGTGTCAGCACCTCACTATCTAACAATGCTGTGACCCCCCCCCCCAAGTTTTAAGCTTCAGATTTTGTTACAAGTGGTAAATTGAAATAGGATCCCCCCCCCCAGTAACTTCACACTTTCATAAACTAGATCTTTGTAAGTCGGGGATTACCTTTATTTAAGCAACATCTCAGACAGCTTTGATGCCTCTGTACATAAGGTAAGAGCTACAGGATCACAATGAAGTTTAGCCACCCACTTTATTTCATCTTAAGATTAGCAATCCTAATGCTAACCTAACTTAAACCTGGCTTAACCTAATAACCTAATAAACCCTGCCAGATAATGTTAGGGTGGCAAATCTCAAGGTGAAATAGGCTGGGTTGGCTAGTCATCATGTTGTATTAGCCCCTTAGTTTTTATATACAGGCAGTCCCTGACTTACGACAGGGTTAGGGACCCAAATCCAGGTCGAAAGTCGAAAATGCGAAAATAATACATAGAAAATCTAAAATGGGTCTTTTTTTTTTCTCAGCACCACAAAACTCTCACTTTTAAGCTTGCCCGCCATTTTAAAGGGAATTACAAACGAAAATTTTGTCAGTACACAGCGCAATCACTAACGTCGGGACTCGAAAATATGTACAGTAATACCCCGCTTTATGCGGTTCTCGTTTACGCGTTTCTACATTTACGCGGTACCCTGCCAGAACCGGAATTCCCACTTTACGCTGTGCATCTACTCATATACACGGGTGAAGTATAATTTTTTTTTAGCTCATAAAATTCATACAAATTACCCAGCCAGAATATAATTTACATTGCTGGAATTCTTACAATATGATGGTCATTTTTAATAGAAACATCATAGATTTTGCATTAGACATACAAATTTTAGATCAAATGTAAGAATTTTGTTTACTCAGAGCAAATATGTTATCTTTTGTGCAAAATATGTGACGTTTATATTCAAAATATTCCTGGTCTTGCAAAGAATCCAGCAATGTCAATTATATTATCCTAACTTTAGTCTGAGGTATTATTTATTACTAAAAATGTAAATATACTGTTTTAACCCTAACATTTCTCTGGTAGGGAGGGAGGGAGGGACCCAGTGAGCGTGGGAAGAGGGGGGAGCCTGAGGTGGGGTATTTTGATTGACAGATAGTGTTTGGGTGAAGTATATTTTTTTTATTTGCTGAAGATATTTGTTGAAGCTCATAAAATTCATACAAATTACCCGGCCAGAATATAATTTACATTGCTGGAATTCTTACAATATGATGATCATTTTGAATATACACATCATAGATTTTGCATTAGACATACAAATTTTAAATCTAATGTAAGAATTTTGTTTACTCCGAGCAAATATGTTACCTTTTGTGCAAAATATATGACGTGTATATTCAAAATATTCCTGGTCTTGCAAGGAATCCAGAAATGTCAATTATATTATCCTAACTTTAGTTTGAGGTATTATTTATTACTATACCTTAAAATCTAGTGTTTTCACCCAAACATCTCTCAGAGAGGGAGGAGCCAGCGAGCGTGGGAAGAGGGGGGGGAGGGGGCGGGAGTTGAGTCCTTTATTTGAATGGACATTAACCTGGCAACTGTATTTCTCTTAAATATTAATTGTGTGTGCATACCATCATAAAATTAAGATGTTATTTTTACTACAACATAGGTATTGTGTTGGAAAAAGTGGAGTTTGGGAGTCGGCCCAGTCTCCATTTCAATTAATCCCATATGTTCTGTTGTTCCATTTACGCGTTTCTTGTTTTTCGCGGACCTCTGCGGGTTCAATTGACCGCATAAATCGGGGTATTACTGCAATTTGAAAAAAAAAATTGGTACGACTTCGGCGGTCGTATGTCCAGGTGGTCGTATGTCCAGGTGGTCGTAAGTCGAGTAGGTCGTAAGTCAAGGAGTACCTGTATATGTGGGGTAGTACATTAATTTTTTATAACTGTCACCCCTTGTAACTTTCCACTAGCTATGAGGTTATGAGGTACATGTTCAGAGCACCTGATAAGGTGTACCCACGGGAAGTCGCGTCACTTGGTGCTGAGCTAAGGATTAAGTAACCGACTTTAGGCCACCTATTGCGGTCACTAGTTTGATAACCCGGACGAGAGGAAGACGTTATTTAGAGCCATCGATGATGGTTCCGTCTTCCCTCGAAGGAGGACGTCGAATATATTTCCGTTCTCCCTTCAGGGTCTCTAATCATTCTCACCCAAATTCTCACACCGCCAGGACTTACTTAACAGAGCTATTTAAGATAGCCTCCATCCTCATTTAACACTCACAGCTACAGTGATTAAGTTACTGTGATAATCCTTTTTGAAGGTGTACATAGAACTCTTTTTATAATAAACAAACAAAAGGAACATATTGTATTTCACTACAGGAGATCCAATAAACTTTAATCTGAATTTTAGTATGTCTAGAATATAAGGTAACATGCTTCACAAGTGATTGTTACAAGTGGTGACAACCCAGGAAGGTTGTTACATAAGCTTCATAAGTAGTTGTTATAAACAAGTAACAGTCATCTCAACAGATACACAGTTGGTAAAGGTAGAGATATTATGTTCTCCCCATTACTGTGTTATACTGTTACTTTGTAACTAAGAAGTATTTGTTACAATGTGATTAGAGCTACAGTCACCAGTATTGCCTATTATTATTATTGCCTACATTTTTCTAATTTATTTATTTATTTGTTTTTACAGGAGACAAAAAGAAATTGCCCAACATGGTACAGATGGCATGGACATTTGTTAATGACAGGTATGTTGCATGCTTTATGTTATTCGTGTAAATGGCTGCACTTTCCTTTAATTAAAATGACCATTGTTTAAGGCAGGCATGGGGAACCTTTCTTCAGTCCTGGGCCGCATTACGGTTCAGGTATTTTTTGCAGGTCAACCCACCAAAATTTATATCCTACCTAACCCAAAAGTAATGTTAATACAGTGGTCCCTCAGTTAACGAACTCAAATCGTTCCAGAGGGTCGCTTGTTAACCAAAAATTTCGTTAACCGAAACCATTGTTTCAATGGGATATTGGGCAATTGGTTCCAGCTCGCAGAAAAGTATATACAAAGTAAAGCCAAAAAGTCAGAAACACTCCTAAAATTCCCCTAAATTGCCCTTAAATCACTATATATATCGTACATATACACTAGAACTCTTAAATCACTTCTGTAATGTGATACAGGTGATTAATTTTATCTCGTGCAAAATATATGACGTTTATATTCATATTATTCGCTGTCTTGCAACGATTCCAACAATACAAATTATATTCTCCTAACTTTAGTCTGAGATATTATATATGATTAAAACTGTAAGCCTAGTGCTTTTCCCCAAACATTTCTCAGGAAGGTGGGGGGGGGAGGGAGCCAGTGAGCGTGGGAAGAGGTGGGGGGAGTTGAGTTGTACTTTGACAGTTAGGGGGAAGGTCTGGTAAAGTATTTAATTTATTTATTTATGTTGCTAATAAAATTGTTTATAAATAACTGGCCAGAATATAATTTACATTGCTGGAATTCTTATAAGATAGTGATTAATTTGAATATAAACAAGTTATAATTTGCATTAGACATACAAATTTTAGATCTAATTTAAGAATTTTATTAGAGAGCAAAAATTTTATCTTTTGTGCAAAATATACAACGTTTATATTCAAATTATTCGCTGTCTTGCAACGATTCCAGCAATACAAATTATATTCTAACTTTAGTCTGAGATATTATATATGATTAAAACTGTAAGCCTAGTGCTTTTCCCCAAACTTTTTTGGAAGGTGGGGGTAGGGAGGGAGGGGTGACAGTGACATGTTTGACAGTTGGCGCTTGTGGTGTGAAGTATTTAATTGTTAATTAATGTCCTTTAGATTGAGTTTTTGTTTTTTGCATATAAAATTTAATAGAAGTGACCGGGGTGAATTTAATTTGCATTGCTGGAATTTTTATAATATAGTGATTAATTTGAATATAAACATGCCATACAGTGGTCTCTCGGTTAATGAGCACAATTCGTTCCAGAAGGTTGCTTGTTAACCGAAACCATTGTTTCAATGGGTTTTTGGGTAATTGGTCCCAGCTCACCGAAAATTACATACAAACTAAAAATAAATGCAGTAAAGTACACTTACTTTGAGGTGTGCATGTAGAAGGCTCCTAGTTGATGATGATGGGAATTAGAATGGGGGTGGAGGAGAAGGGAGAAGAGAAGGCAGTGGGGGTGGAAGAGAAGTCACCCCATGGCGCCATTTCACCCATAAAATTTTAGTTCACTTGGTGTAATTCAAAATTATTTTCTTTAAATCAACACCGATCTGCGCTATATATTATCAATATGTAAAATATATTTCAAAATGACCAATAGTTTCACTGGAAACACATGAAAAAAAGCATTTATGTTGAAGTCTCAAACAAGATGTTCCTTCCTCTGAACTGGTAAACAAACTGACACCAAGCTTGGTGTGTTGAGTGGCTGTTTGGCGCACAAAAAACTAGTTTCCTGTACTTAAATTATGTTCAGTAATTGTTAAAATGACGAACAAATTTAATATAAAACTTTTAAAATTATTGAATAGTACAACCTTCTTGATATTTACTAAAATGGTAAGGAATTTAAGCCCTAAAACCGATTACTGTATTGGCGGACTAATACTACAGCTGGTGGGCAACCAAATGCAGGCGAAAACATGTTGGGAAAATTTCGCAAGGAATTCGTTAACCGAGGGTTTGCTCGTTAACCGAAGTGAAGAATCTTGTGGAAAGTAATTCGTTAACTGAGGTGCTCGTTAACCGAGGGATCACTGTAATTTGCACTAGACAAAAATTTTAGTAATCATTTTGTACATTATTCTGATTACATGTACAGTTCAGCTTTGCCCTTAGCACAGTGTGTGCATGTAAATGAGTTTCAATAAATGAATAAAGTTATATATATGAGCCAAAAATAGTTGAAAAACTTTATGTAGACAGAGCTTGGATGGCTAAATTTTAGAATGACCAGCTGATGTTCAAAACAAACGTGATTTTCGTAAGGATTTCGTAAATCAAATTTTTTCGTAACCGAATTGAAGAGTCTTATGGAAGGTAATTCGTTAACCGAAATTTCGTTAACTGAGGCGTTCGTTAGCCGAGGGACCACTGTATTCTATTAGTACGGACAGTGAAACAGTTTATCGTCATGTCCACCTTACAATATTTTCAGTTTATAATTACAGTCTTTTTCCCTTTTATGAAACAAACTCACCATAATAATTTTTTAAGTACAGTCATGCGCCGGTTAACGTCCAACCGAACAACGTCCGAATGCATATATGTCCGTGCCCCCCCCACCCCACCCCACCCCACCCCAAGGAAAAAAAAACACATCACTTCTGTGACGCCTGCTGGACCACCACTTCACGACCCCCTGACGGAGACACGATGATCCTCCCCATACTGGCCAGATATTATGTGTTAAAGGAATATCCTTCCTTCCTTAGGCATTTGCCTCCAGGTGTAATATTAACCTACATCTATTGAGGATAAAATCTTTCACCTACAAATTGACAATAACACATTTGCTGTAATCTAATCAGACATATCTAGTTGCCTCAATTGGGGTTGCAATTTCAAATTCTGTGTCATTACTAAGGAATAACGAAGTCTCTGGTGCACTGCACTCTAAGATTAAGAGAAAACGGATGACTCAGGTGTCCTGAAGTGAGAGAAAACGGACTCCTATGACGGGGCTCTCAAATAAAGAGAGACATAGCTACATGTTTTGTGGACTACACACTGTACAGTATTGACGTATCCTTTTCATCACTTTGTAATAAACCTAGTCATGCCTATGTGTGTTTATGATATTTACCATAACATAATATATATATATATATTTAGTGGGTCTAAATGGTCGTAAAATGGGAAACTTGGGGTTGGGTGCCTGGAACCAATTAGAATAAATCCCATAGGTTTCTGTAATTTCGGACAGCGTCCATTTCGGTTAACATCACGTTTCCAAGAACGTATCTAGGACGTTAACCGACGCACGACTGTACAGTAAAACGTTAATGTTTCTTGGCATTTAACAGAAGGTGAGTGAAGCAGTCTGTGAATACTTTGAATTTTCCTAGTAACATGTCAATGTTAATCTTGGTGCATGAAGAACTACAATAACACAACCTATAAGCACTTCTATTAATTTTACAGGCATGAAGGATAAGGTACTATGGAGAGAGACAGTCTGTCAGCCAGGAAGAGACCTTTACCTTTGACCCGTACGCAGGGCAGATCCATGATTATCACAAGGGGGGGGGGGAACATGGCAAGCAAAGTGAGCCCACCCATTTTGTGGGGGAGGTGTAAGCACCCCAGAAATTTGTTTGAAATCTGACCAATATCAAGGGCATTTTGAAGCCATGTGAATTTGAAATATAGGAGGTATTCTGAGGTCAACAGTAATTAATTTTTACAATACAAAAATACCTGAGTACAATACTGTATTAAAGAAAAGGGATTGGAATTTTCTGATGAAAAGGGGGGTTCTGGACCCCCAGGACTCCCCTGGATCTGCCCTTGCGTGTGACCCACTTGGACTTACTCAACCTCAGTTAATGCCCAAGTGACCCACTGCCACTTAGCAGTTAATCCATCAAACATACCGCGCCAAATTTGGCCCATAAACTCACACAAGTTAAAATGTTTATCTTGTTGATTATTTATACAGTATTACCCCGCCTAACGCGGTTTCACTTAACGCGTTTTATCATATACGCGGTGCCTCGCCAGAGCTGAACTTTCACTTAACACGGATTTTTTCCACATATACGCGGTGAGTGTCCGGCTCGAGATGCTATTTTTAGATTTGCCCCACCCTGCCTGACTGCCTGTTTTAGCTCATAAAATTCATACAAATTACCCGGCCAGAATATAATTTACATTGCTGGAATTCTTATAATTTGGTGATCATTTTGAATATAAACATCATATTTTTGCATTAGACATACAAATTTTAGATAAAAAATTTTCTCAAATTAACTATGTTATCTTTTGTGCAAAATTTATGACATTTATATTCAAAATATTCCTGGTCTTACAAGGAATCCAGCAATGTCAATTATATTATCCTAACTTTAGTTTGAGGTATTATTTATTAAAATTTAGTGGTTATCCCACACATCTCCTTGGGACGGTTGGTGGGGGGTGGGGGGGAGGGAGGGAGGGAGGGACCGACCGACCATCTGTTACCCTGTGAAGAATTATTATTTTTTTTTATTAACTGAAGATATTTGTTTTAGCTCATAAAATTCATACAAATTACCCGGTCTGAATATAATTTACATTGCTGGAATTCTTATAATTTGATGATTCTTTTGAATATAAACATCATATTTTTGCATTAGACATACAAATTTTAGATAAAAATTTTTCTCAAATTAACTATGTTATCTTTTGTGCAAAATATATGACATTTATATTCAAAATATTCCTGGTCTTACAAGGAATCCAGCAATGTCAATTATATTATCCTAACTTTAATCTGAGGTATTATTTAATACTAAATGTTAAAAACCCTGGAAGGGAGGATTGGTGGGGGGTGGGGGGGAGGGTTGGGACTGACCGCGCGGTTGGAAGAGGGGGGGAGGCAAGGTTGAGTCCATTATTTGAATGGACATTAACTTGGCGACTGTATTTCTCTATTTCTCTTAAGTATTAATTGTGTGCATGTACCATCATAAAATTAAGATGTTATTTTTACTACAACATAGGTATGTGCCTTCAAAA